ACCAATTACCGAAATTATCTCCAGAAGTGATGACCATCGCCAGTAATTTCTCCCCCCCCCCAAGATGCCCCCACGCCATCCATCCCACGCCCACGGTCGCCTACTTCCCGCGGCGGCCGCCTGATGGCGCCCATTCGGGGAGGGCGGCTAACTCATTCGGTCAGCGCGGCTCCGGCCGGGAATAGTCTACAGCGGCAGGCGGGCGTTGGCATCAGAAATGTATCCGGCAGCGCTGGTAGGGCAGGACCCCGCACCGGCCATAACCAAGGCTCTAACCTAGCACGTAAATGTAGGCTCCTTTCACGCACGATTTCACAACAACATTTCAGTCCCTCGCCCAGCGCGTCCGAAAGCTCGGCTCGGCCGCTCTCGGCGTTGGCGCAAGTCGAGAAATTACCGATTCGGACGAGGAGCCACGGAGAATGCTTTCTCTTATCCCAATCTCCCTCAGCTCCTCACTCCTTCTCTTCCTTTTTTCTATTTCTTTGGAATTTATTTTTCTTCGCTTCCTTCCTTGTTCGTCTGCTCTGGCTTCTTCTTTGTGTGAAATTCCTTTTCTTTGTTTTCCTTTCGTGTGCTTTTTTTTCGCAAAGCTACTATGCAGTGGTTACACATAGCTCCCTATCTATCTCTCTATCTATCTATCTGTCTGTCTGCCCGTATGCCTGTCTGCTTGCATATCTATCTGTCCACCTTTTCCTCTCTCTCTCTCTCTCTCTCTCTCTCTCTCTCTCTCTCTCTCTCTCTCTCTCTCTCTCTCTCTCTCTCTCTCTCTCTCTCTCTCTCTCTCTCTCTCTCTCTCTCTCTCTCGCTCTCGCTCTCTTTCACACACGCTTTGTATTTGCATGTATTGGCCGGGATATTTTTCCTTCCGTTTTCTTCATCGTTATTCCCATTATCGTCTTTCAAGAAATTGCTTAAAATGGTGAATGTTCTGTTGATATAATGTCATTCGATAAATGAATTGTTAATTACATATGTCGTCTTCATCTGTCTATCTGTATTTTTTTTTAGTCGATCGGCCATCTATGTATCTTTTCTTTGCA